CTGTCAGGCATCCGTGGCTGCTCTGATCCTTTCCCACACAAAATGGCGGCTTCTGGAGCCACTGAGCATCCTGAACCAGGAAGCAATGGATTTCTTGGTTATGCCACAAACTCCCCAGCTGTAAGTCTTCCAACCTTCTAAATATTCCTTTATATGTGGTTCAGAGTACTGGGTCCATTCCCTGAGCCTTATTGGTCTTGTATTCTGTGTTGTTCTCAGCAGAGCTCGTCACTACACTTTCCTTACATGAAGTATAAATAGTCAGGATCCCCATCATCACAAAATAGGATATGACACACAAAGCCAAAACCGGCTTTGACTCTGGAAACGGGTGCATATAATCCCAAATCAAAGCCACTATGGCAAAGAGACAGGAAATGGTACAGATGGTGAGGCGTCCATTGGTTAAACCAAAATTCTCTACGTACTTGTACTTTTCCAGAAGTACCTTTTTGGCAGAATCATCCTGAGAATTTTTCACAGCAGATCCATCCCATTTGTCAATTTTTAGTGGCTTAGCATCAATCTTCCACTTATCCAATAAGGCACTTCGATTACAGCTTGTCCCACAGTTGAGGCCACCGCCAGACTTACTATTGCCTCCGCCGCCACCATTTCTCCCACCCTATGCAGGCACCATTTCATTTTTGATGACTACCAATCTTCCTAGACTCATACTTTGTACATTCTACAGCCTGATTATTAATAATTATTAATGGATGTTAAATTCTGTTGCTTCTCATTTTGTGCCCCACAAGTAAATGAAGGTCCCTAGAGCTTTGCTCCATCCATATCATTAAAGTTACTTCTTTGAGAAGGCAGCTCTTTCCGAGTAATATTTTGAGTGCTTTCCAACCTGAGGGAATCATCTCCCAGCACTGTATCAGACAATATACTGCTGCTATACATAAAGTTTTCAGTGGCTAACTTTTCAGAAGTGGCCTGCTTCTCTTTCTTTCTAGTTTATCTTAGTCTTGAAGCTCTGCTGAAACCTGGCCACCATGGGTGACACTGCTGATATTTAAAATACCAACATCACAGCAACACAGAAGCTACCATACTACAGTAAATTGAAAAACAGGTGGTTATTACAGCAGCTAATATTTGCTGGGTACATCCTATGCTAAGTACTGTTCAAATTATTTAACATACGTCTTTTCATTTAATCCTCATAACAAATTCAAGGAGGCAGGGTCTATTAATATCTCCATTTTGCAGATTATGAATACAATAGTAGCTATAATTTTTTGAGCATTTATGTGCCTGGCTTTTCCATAGTACTTTAAATTTATCTTTAAATTAAATGCTCCTCACACACCTAGAAATTCTTCTTCTTCTTCTTTTACAGAAGAGGCCACTGAGGTTTACAGCTCAAAGCTGCATAGTTGTAGTTGGTAGAGTTAGAATTTAAACCCAGGATGTTCAAAGTTCCTGCTTTCTATATTGGCAGGTCTCCCTGGATGGTGCACATGGTTAGTATACTAGTCTGCTAACTGAAAGATTATTGTTGTTAAGTGCCATCAAGTCAGTTCCAAATCATAGCAAACCTGTATAGAGTTTCTAAGGAGCAGATTGTTGGTTTGAACCACCAACTTTATAGTAACAGTCCAGAGCTTATCCTTTAGTGCCACATCAGGACTCTACACCAAGCTGAAAGCTTGGAGGTGTTCAAGTCCACTCAAAGGTGCCTTGGAAGAAAGATCTGATGGTCTCCTTCTGAAAAATCAGTACTTGAAAACCTTATGGAGTATAGTTTTACTATGATATACTTGGGGTTTTCATGAGTCAGAATCAATCTAGTGATAACCGGTTTAATGGTTTATATATTGGAAAGGCAGTTTACAAAGCCAGCAAATGTTGGAGCCACATAGATTTCCGAGCAATTGCTACACTAATCTAGTTCTCTGATATTTCATGTATAGAGAATCTGCATATCTGTGCTGTTGTTAATGAGCCTTCCTGCAACTGGATGCCACACCCTTTTTCATATAATCCAGTTTCTCAGAGTATTTTCTCAGCGTACAGATTGAATAAATATGGTGAAAGAATACAATCTGACATACACCTTTCCTGATTTTAGATGATTCAGTATCTGAATCAATATTGTTTTGTTTAAATAACTACCTCTTAGTTTTTTTTTTACAGGATCACAGGAGAACAATCAAGTGTTCTGGAATTTCCATTCTGTGTGATATTATCCATAGTTTTCTATGATCCACACAGTTGAATGTCTTTGCATAGTCAATAAAATACAAGTAAACATTTTTTCTTGGTATTCTCTGCTTTCAGTCAAGATCCTTCTGATGTCAGCAGTAATATTCCTTATTCCACATCCTCTTCAGAATCTGGCTTGAATTGTTTTCTGTCCATGCACTGTTGCAAATGGTTTTGAATTATATTCAGCAAAATTTTACTTGCATACAATATTAATGATATTGTTTGATAATTTCTGTATTCTGTTGGATCACCTTTTTTTGGAATGGGAACAAATATGGATGTTTTCCAGTCACTTGACCAGGTAGCTGTCTTCCTAAATTGTTGGCATAGATAGGTGCAGCTTCCAGTGCTGCATCACTTTGTTAAAACATTTCTATTAATATTTTATCAATTCTTGGATCAAAAGCTGCACAATGTAGAAGAATCGATGCTTTTGAATTATGGTGTTGGTGAAGAATATTGAAAATACTATGGTCTTCCAGAAAAATAAGCAAATATGTCTTAGAAGCAAGGATGGAGAAACTTGGTTTCACATATTTTGGGCATGTTATCAGGGAGGACCAGTCCCTGGAGAACATCATGCTTGGTGAAGTAGAGGGTCAGGAAAGAAGAGGAAGTGCCTTAATGAGATGGATTGACACAATGACTGTAAACAGTTAGCTCAAATATAGCAAAGATTGTGAAGATGGTGCAGGACCATGCAGTGTATTGTTATGTTGTACTGACTGGACAACAACTCAAAACAACATAAAGGGGATGGTCCTTTACTCCTTCCTTTTCTCTCAAGGTTTCAGAAAGGTCATCTGAGAAAGTGTCTCATAATTATGAAGGCTCACAACTGGTGATTCAGGTCTCTTTTCAAGCCATACACACAGGCCTATCTCAGATCTCTGTGAAGGGCATCATTACATCTGTTCTTCCTGCTTGTAGAGGTCACAAGGAGAAAACCTCCTTGCTCACATGCTATTTCTCTCTTTTTAAGAAGAAAATAATTTCCTTCCAAATATTCAAACCAGATAAGCATGTTAAGCCCTGAATGGAAGATTATTAAAGAAGTCCATAGCCATTCTCCCTGCTAGCAATGTAATTAGCTGCAAAGAGGCCCCTTAATGTCTGAGTCAGAGAAATCTAAGTCTATGGAAAATTGTCTAATGAGAGAAGACAGAATGTTGAAGGTGGTAGAAATGTTAGTGTGTCTGTGGGAGGGAGAAGAGATTCCAATTCCTGTCCATACTCACTAATAACTTCCACAGGCACCTCCAGCAAGAAAACTAAAATACGTTATCACACTGCTTTCAGTCAACAGCCTGGGCAGTTGTTGCCTTGGAGCTGGGTACAGAATACACCTCCTAGGGCTTTCTAGAGAGAGGAAGATTAGTTTTCTTTGGAGTTACTGTAAGCCCTAGGTAGCCAGCCTCTTCTCAATACCATAATAGGCCAGAAAAGAAGAAATAGGTACAAAAATAGTCTGTTCTTGTATTAGGGAGAGAGTCATGAACCCCTGTTAAGAAGGGTGGGTGCGGGGATCAGTTAAGCATTTACCTAGTCATTCCTCTGTACTCCAAGAGGAGCAGGAAACAGGATTTTACAATTATGTCATCTGCACTCATTCATTCATTCTTCATTTAATAAATATTGATTAAGCATCTATTTTGAGGCAGGCACTGTATTAGGTGCTGACATACAGAAGTGAACAAGCCAAGTGGGTCCCTGCTCCTAAGGAGAGTGACACATACACAAGATGATTGCAGAGAGTGAGAAATATACAGGGTAAGACAGAATTCCATGTGATACAGAGTGTAGTGCAACCCAGAGCTCCCTTTTCAGACATGAGGAACTGTTATATAATGGAGTCAAGATGGCCTCTGTGTATTTGACCTAGATTGTGTCATTCTTCATAGTAAGTTGAGGCCTGTTAGCCTCAAAAAGTTTCACCTGGTGTCAAACTCAAATTTGTATACATCCAATTATTTTTTTTTAAATTAGCCTGATAGTCTGTCTGCTGTGGGGGATCACCCCATGCATGCAACTGTCATTGTGGTGGCCCCAATAAATACTTTGTTGGGCAAGGCTATTGCTACCTTGTGGTCATATCTAGCTCCTTGTTCAGTGTCCTTGTATTGTTAAGTGCCGCCAAGTCAGTTCCATCTCATAGTGACCACATATAGAGTTTCCAAAGAGTGGGTGATGAATTTGAACCATCGACCTTGCAGTTCAAACTGACCTTGAGGTTGAATACTTATGCTACAGTGCCACACCATTTTACTACAGGTATTCATGTTCCAAATCCGGGCACCCAGTGTTTAGAGACCTTGGTTCTCAGAGGGGAGGCTCCTCTACCAGAAGACGCAGTAATAATCCCATTAAACCTCAAGTTATTGTGGCCACCTGGTCACTTTGGGCCCCTGGTAATTGTGTATAATTATTAGTAGAAGGTGGGGCTGCTATTGAATGATGGGATATATTTGTCAGCCATGTATCCACAGTTTGCCCAATTTTGACAGTATATGAACACATGCAGTAGCTATGACCTGATAAAAAGGCATAGTGACAGTGGCTCAGACTTCATAAGGAATGAAAGTACTGGTCATCCTACCTGGAGAAAGGGACTCTATAGAGCTCTGGTAGCGCAGCAGTTATGAGTCAGGCTGCTAATCTCAAGGTCAGCAGTTCAAAACTTCCAGTGGTTCTGTGGGGGGAAAAAATGAGGCTTTCTGCTCCTGTAAAGATTTACAGCCTTGGAAATCCTATGCAGGGTTGCTATGAGTTAGAACCAACCTCACAGCACACAACCATCACCATGAGTATTAGTGGCAGCCTCCAGTGCAGTTACAGTGGTGGGTACTAGGTTCGTCCCACTAATCTTCCTCTTGTAAGTTTTCCCAGAAAAAGAGATCAACCAGAATCCCAGTGGAGATACACCACTAAAATATTCCCCTCTAGTACACAGTCTCTCATTTCCCCAGTTGCTGTGAGTGTTGGCAACTGAATCACTGTCTCAAAAAAGCTGTGAAAGAACACTGTCTTTTTTTTTTTTTTTTT